CGATCAGGGACGGGATATCTGAAATGGGGTAGGGGCTGGAGGCCTCTGTTCTCTCCCTGTTGGGGGCTCTGCAGGCCTTGTGGTGAGCGTGGGGCTCAGACAGTGACTGATTTTCTGTGCTGTGAGGTTAACATCCTGCTAGGCACCAGTGGCCTCTTTCTAATTCTTTCTGAACCCCTTCCTGACTTGGGGGGTGGGAGAGTTGGACCTGTGAGGAGTCGGGGGTCAGCTCCCCAGGACCTTATCCCTACCCCTAGCCTAGCCCTCAGCAGTTCCCCCAACTATGGCCTGAGCCCTGTGACTCACTAACACCACCAGCGTGCCTCCCCTGTGTCAGCATCCTGTGAGATTCCGCATGTTCTTGTGGCGTTTTCCACTGGGGCTGGGTACACGGCGCATTCCTGGACACCAGCCTGAAGGAGCAGAATCCTGAAGGACGCCTGGGAAGTCTGGCTGAGAGGGCGTCCTAGTCCTAGTCCTAGTCCTTAGAGATCCTCTGCCTTTGGCCTGGCCGTGGCAGGGAGCTGAGACGACATGGTGTAGGGTTGGGGAAGGTGAGGGTGGCTCCAGGCAACACAGGCGTGGCTCTTGGGGTTTGGGTCTGCATCCTGAAGGTGTGTGAAGAAAGGGTCACCTTGCCACAGCAAAGCTACTGTCTTGGGTTACCCTGCCCCAGCCACCGCCTGTGTAGTTGATGAGCCTGTGAGCCTGGCCCCCCACCCCCACCCTGGCAACCTCACTGCCATTAGGTTCCGGGGAGTCTCCCCACTGTCTGCCCGCGCCCCACCAGGAGAATGGAGCCTTCTTTCTCCCCAAACTATTGGCGTCTCCAGAGCCAGAGTAGGCTTCAGTAAGTTACGTGTGGCTTCAGAATGCCTTGGTGGCTACCGTTTACTGAGTATCAATGAGGTGCCAGGCAGTGTGTCACGCAGCTTTACGAAGTAGGTGTTATTATCCCCATACTACAGGTGAGGAAGCAGACTCCGAGAGACCAACTTTCCCAAAGTGGTGCAGAGGTGGGTGGGATCCAGCACACTTCCATCTGACCCCCAGGCCCCTGCTCTCAGACCCTGCCCCATCAGAGGAGATCCCAGCCTACTCCGTCCTCCTTAGGAAAAGGAAGGATGGGGGTGGTGCTCCAAGTAAGAGGCTCCCGTTTGTTCTGTGCCAGGCAGAGCCAGTTTCTCAATGGGTCCCAGGAGAGAGGGCATCAGATCTGAGGAACAAGTATGTTCCTGGTCTGAGATCTCATGGGATCTGCTGCCTGCCTTGGAAGCCTCCCCCAGGGACCTCGAGGAGATGGAGCTGCCTTTATGGCTGCACTGGTTTTCTGTATGGACCCAGTCTTCTGCTGACTTGGGCCTTCCTGTGCCCAGGCACACAGGCCCCACGCTGTGGGGCAGAGCCTGGCTTGGCTTCTCCCAGCTGCTACCCCAACCGTGCCTCTCCTTTCTGGGGTCACCTCGTTTTGGGCTGTATCTCTATCTATCTCTCCCCTGATTCCTTCTCTCTTTCCCAAACTGAGTTTGAAGCCTAGAAGGGAGGGCAAACCCAGGGCCTTGAGGGAGTCCAGCTCCAGCACGTACGAGCTATGTGACTCCCCTCTTCCCGGCCAACTCCTGAGCTTCTCCTAGCCTCAGTTTCCTCATCTGTGAAATGAGGATCATAATGGGGAAGGTTTTTATGAACTACATAAAATAACACATAGTGCCTGGCACGTAACAGATGCTAAATAACCGGTAGCTGTACTGTTGGTAGTTATTTGGAAAGGAATTTCCTAGTTGTGGCACTGTGCCTGGCTCGGGGGTAGAGACAGTGGCTGGCTTTCCTGATCCCATCGGGCTGGGTCCTTAGTATCTCTCCCGCATTTTCGGACTGGGGAGGAAGGCTCTGTGTAAGAGAATGAGAGGGTGGGGTGCAGGTTGGATGGAAACCGGCCAGGAGGGGACCAGGAATCTCTGCTGTGGGGACTCTACTAGTTTCCAGGATGAATGAGGTAGGCACAGGAGCTGGAAAACCCACAGCCTCCTGCTCTGAGGGGCCTCTGGCAGGGCCTCTATTCCCCGGGGTGAGACCCTCCCCCAGTACTTAATTAATTATAGTCCCTGTTCTGCTCTGTTGTCCATGAGGGAGTGGCTGGCCTGCATCCAGACTCACCTGATTAGCTTCACCCCTTCGGGAACGAGTCACATTTCTCTTCCCCAGTGCCGTGTCCCGCCATAACCCCTTCTCTTCCCAACCCTGGACCCTTCACCTTCGCCCTCTTGGCATTAGCTGCTGAGTGGGCACTTTCCCATCTCCAGGGGGTGGGAGCAGACCAAGGGTAATCTTGTCCTTGTCCCCACCGCTGTGGACACACACACAGAACCCGCCCTGAGGCTGGGCTCACGATAGCTCAGGCAGAGGGTCCGGGACCCAGGATCACGGCAGAGCCAGTGGCTGGGCCTGGCAGGAGCTGGCCAGTGGCGCAGCAGCAGGTTGGGAAGAGGGAGAGCTGCGGCACATCTCAGCAGACCTCCCGTCTGAAGGAGAACCCATCTGCCCCTGCAATCTCCATGGTTCCGTCTGCAGAGGAGGAGGTATTGGGAGGCAGGTGTGAGGTTTGGCTTTGAACTAAAAAGGGCCTTGACACTTCTTGACCACATGAGTAGCCCTGATGAGACAGGACATCCTGATCTTGGAGACAGTGGCCAAAATTTTGAAGTGACAGTGGTGACACCCCCTTTCTTGGAACTCTGAGTGATGGTCTCGCCCTGTGCTCCCGCCCTACCCTTCTGGCATTGAATAAAGCCTTCCTTGGAAATGAAGGGGACACGATAGACAAGATGACTCTATCCTTTTCTTCTTCGCATGTGGAGCTTGCGTCTCTTGCCACAGCGGAGTCAGGACTTTGAGGTCAGTTCAAATCCTGCCTCTGCTATTTGTTAAGTGGTTGCCTAGGTGAAGAAACTTGCCCGCCCATGTTTTAGTTTCCTCATTTAGAAAATGGGGAGAGTAACAGTGTTACTTCATGTGGTTGTGAGGATTCCAATGAGATAATGTCCACTAATTCCTAGCTTTTTGTCTTATTTGGTGTCATCATCAAGAAGTGGTAGCAAATGAAGTTAGTGGGCCACATTTGACAGTTCTCAGTACTCTGGCCTCTGCTCAATCCCTGTAGAAACCAGGCCCCAAACTGGGAAGGAAACTGTTTTTAAACCACTTCTACCCTCTCTCACCCCAAACACCTTCTGATTTTATCATTATCGTGGGACATTCTGACAAAGCACCAGAATGATCTGTCTCCATTGCTTCCCTAACAAAGGCCTCCTTTGCTTGTCTTTGGGGATCCCCTCAGGAACCAGGGCTGCTTCTCTCCTCTGTCCCTAGCCATCCAGCAAAGCAGACCCTTGCAGGGTGACCAGGCCTAAGAGGGGACATGGCTATCCTTCCCCAGGTCTTGGCAGGATCCAGTACCTGGAAGCAGGTAGGTGGTGGGACTTGTGCTGAAGGGTATCACTCACGACATTGGCAGCAGAGCAGGAGACGAAGCCAGGAAATGGGTCCCAGAGCCATTCCCTGTTCCTGTTCATGGCTGGGCTGGTGCCACATTCTGGGCTGAAGCTAAACTTGGCATAGCTTTTTCCCTGTGCAAAGTGGCCCTCGAGCGGGCTGCCGATTTCCCTGCTAATGATGCCTGGTAGAGGGAATGCCATCTCCGGGTAGGTCCTTGCAGTCCCCTCCAGCCCTGGGGGAGCAGAAAGGGCACTGAACTGAATGAAACTCACAAGCCCCCAGTTCTAGTCTCAGCTCTGCCCCGTCAACCCGAGTGGCATTGGGCGGGTCACTTCCCTTTCTGAGTTTTGCCTTCCTCACTTGAAAAAATCAGGGCCTAAACCAGGAGATTTCTAAAGCCCCATCCATGACTGCTGGTCCGCCGGTCCTGCCGACAAGGTGAGCTGTGCTCCAGGACCCAGGGGCTCCACCTTCTGTTCCTCTGCACTCCACAGCACAAGGGTTTAGCCAGCCGAGGCCTGAGTAGCCAATTGCTGGCATGGCACAGATGAGCCAGGAGACCCTGGAAGGCCTCCCCCAGGCGGATGGGAGGAGGAAAAGCGCTCCTGGAGGAGTGGGTACAGGATTCAAATGCCACGCAGGCGCTGGATGCTCGAGGGCAGGGCTCGGTGAACTGTG